AGTCCCCTGGCAGCCCCATGTGCAGCCTTGTCCTGGGGCCCTGCACTCTGGAATCCCCTGGCAGCACCACCCCAGGGCTCCCCAAAAATATTAGCTCAGTGTCTTGCAACCCAAACTATCCAGGCAGCTCTGCTCTACCCCTCTGCAGCTCTGGGTCCCCTGGCAATGCCAGCACAGCCTCCTGCACCAGCATTGCCCCTGTGTCCACTGCGGTCGCTGGCACCGGCACGACCCCAGTGCCCACTGCGGTCACTGGCACCAGCACGACCCCAGTGCCCACTGCAGTCACTGGCACCGGCATGAGCCCAGTGCCCACTGCGGTCACTGGCACCAGCCCGGTGCCCACTGCAGTTGCTGGCACTGGCATGACCCCTGTGTCCACTGTGGTCGCTGGCACCGGCATGAGCCCAGTGCCCACTGCAGTCACTGGCACCAGCCCGGTGCCCACTGCAGTTGCTGGCACTGGCATGACCCCTGTGTCCACTGTAGTTGCTGGCACCAGCCCGGTGCCCACTGCGGTCGCTGGCACCAGCACGACCCCTGTGCCCACTGCGGTCGCTGGCACCAGCATGACCCCTGTGCCCACTGCGGTCGCCGGCACCGGCATGACCCCTGTGCCCACTGCGGTCGCCGGCACCAGCATGACCCCTTTGTCCACTACGGTCGCTGGCACTGGCATGACCCCTGTGTCCACTGCGGTCGCCGGCACCAGCATGACCCCTTTGTCCACTACGATCGCTGGCACTGGCACGAGCCCAGTGCCCACTCCGGTCGCTGGCACCGGCACGAGCCCTGTGTCCACTGCGGTCGTTGGCACCAGCATGACTCCAGTGCTCTCCATGGCCACCGGCACCTTCATGACACCTCAGGGTGTGGGGGAGAGGAGCAGTAACACATCCAAGGGAAGCCTCCCCTGTGCCAAGGACAGTGCTGTGGAAACAGACTCCCTGCTCTGGCAGTAAGTATGAGGACATGCCCCCCTGGGGCTGTGGCACCTGTGGGCTGTCCTTGCCCTAAGCCCTTCTCTTTGTCCCCAGCTGTCCCCGGGAGCACCTGAAGACCTTGCCGCGGGCACAGCTGGAGGAGAGGCTGGAGAGGGCCCTCATCATCATCGAAGCTCTCTTGCTGCAGCTGTGTGACTTAAAGCAGAGCCAGCAGCTGCGGCCTGGCATGGGGCTGGCCAAGCAGAGGGACACATTCACACAGACTGACACCACCCACCCCAAAGGGGTAAGAGTCCTCTCCGAGGCAATGCCAACCTGTCCTCTTAGCCTTGGTGTTGTGACAGTGTCCTTGTGCCGCTGGCAAGACAGTGACCCCGTCTGGGTTGGTGGAGTGGAAGTAAAGCGCGGCTGCTGCATCACGGCATCACGCGCCCGGTGCTGCATTATCATGCCCAGATCAGCATGCTGAGTCTGCTGGATTTGAACCCTCATGGGGGGAAACTGCCCTCGTGCAGGTGGGAGGAGGGGAGGTGTCATGGCTGGCCAGCTCTTGCTGGCCCCAGGGTGGAGCGGGGCTGCTGTGAAGGGCCCTCTGCTCTGGTGGATGTCCTTATCTACTGGCAGCTCCACCTCGAGCTGCGGAGGAAAGCAGAGGCTGTGCAGTGGCAGTGGGGAGTGGAGTGGGATCTACAGCTGGAGCTGGGTGGCTGTCACCACCATGAGTGTGCCAGATCTCAGCCATGCAGGGGCGCACACATGTGCCCGGTGCTGCCTGTGCCAGCTGCCATAAAACCAGTGTCCTTGTCACTTCCCCAGAGCACCTGGAACAGCCAGAGCCTCCTGTTCCGGGGCCTTGCAGCTGCTGCTTTTCGGAGCTTGCAGGATGAGCAGGGAGCTCTCGTGCAGGAGGTGAGCTCCTGCACATCCTTCTGCTTCCCCTTTCCCCTGAGTTCTGGGAGATCTGTTGGCACACACAGCAGATGTATCTGGTGCCTCATGATGTTGTCACCTCCCACAGCGGGAGCAGGAGAGAACCCTGGTGTCCCAGTGCCAGGCTGTGCTTGAGACTGCTCCCAGCAAGGTGCAAAGCTGCCTGGAAGAGGGGGATGCCATCAGGCAGCGAGTGGATGAAGCTCTACGAGCCCAGGATCAGGTAAGGGGGCAGTTGTTGTGGGATTGAGGCAGTCTCAGCTGTCCTCATGCCTTTGGTGGGGCATCCTGCATCTCATTTCTGGGGATGAGAATCTCTCTGGCATCCCAGGTGAAGAAAATCCCAATGTGGAAGGCAAGGAGTGCTGTGTGATGGAGCTCTCTGGATGTATTTTTGGTGCGGGCTGTGCTCCCTGGGGAGCAGGAGTCCTAGACTGGTGCAGGGATGGCTCCTGGGAGTTTCCCCTTGTGCTCCCTAGTGTGGCTGGAGCAGCATCCTCTCCTCTGCAGGGATATCTCTTCCTGGAGGCTTTCTGTGCCCATGCCAGGGCTCAGATCAGTGCCCGTGACCAGAGCCTGGCCTCCCAGCAAGAGCTGAGCACACTGCTGACCCATGCCATCAACCTGCAGGTACTGAGTATGGTGCTATCCTAACTACCGCACACTGGATTAGGGGCTGGAAGGGCATTGCCACATCCTGAGCTTGGATGATGCTCTGTGATGGGCTTGGGTGCACCAGAGGTTTTCTGGTGCTGCTTCTGGGAAACTGCTGCAGATTTGGCTTCAGGGCTGGTACTTGTCTCCCTTCATGGCCATTAAATGTGGCTTTTCTACCACAGCAGTGCTGACTCATTCCTCCTACCCTACAGGCATCCCTGTCTGCTAAGGCGCAGTCTTTCCGGGAATTCTTAGATGTCACCTTTGAAAATCTGAAGAAGGAAAGGAGGGCCGTGGATGAGGAGGTGAGGGGCGTCCTGTGGGGGCTCAGCCCCTTGCTGCCCTGCCAGTGCTCTGTGCCCTGGGTGCCATGACCTGTCCCTGGTCACACAGCAGGGCAGTGCCATGCTGAGCTCTGCCTGGTGCTGTCTTCCCAGCGGGAGCAGACGAGGACCCTGCTGTCCCGGTCCTTTGCCCTGTTGGAGCATGAGCATGGCAAGCTGCAGAGCTGCCTGGAGGAGCGTGCTGCTGCACAGAAACGAGAGGAGGAAGCTCTTCAGGCCAAGGAGGAGGTACAGGGGTGCCTCCTCTCAGTGCTATGATGTGTCTGAGGCATGGGGTGATTTGGGGCACCCCTTGGTGTGAGGACACCCCATGGAGGAGAGCACCCCAGAGCAAGCACCGTGTCTCCACAGGCATCCAGGCAGCTGGAGAAGACCTTGGTGACCCTGCAGGACACGCAGGCTCAGCTGGAGAAGCTGACAGTGGCCAACTCACTCCTGGGCAAAGGTAGGGGTGGGAGATGTGGGGGCTGGAGCCTGCCCCATCCCCCTTGCCCCTGTCTCCCCTTACTAACAACTCTGTCCCTCACAGACCTGAGCTCCATGGGGATAAATCTGAGCAGTGTGGAGCAGGAGCGGGATGCGCTGCAGCAGGAGAACGAGAAGCAGCGGGAGGAGATGGCCCAGTGGGTTTGAGCCCTGATGTCCTGAGCCCCATCCCACCTCTGGCCCCCAAAACACAGCACCCCCTGATCCCATCCCATCCCATCCCCTCAGGCTGGCACAGGAGAGGAACTCCCTGCAGCGGGAGTGCGAGGAGCTCTGCCAGGAGCTGCGGGAGGCCACTGAGTGCCGGGAGGTAGGAGCTGCCTGACCTTGCCTGCGCTGCTGGCCCCCATCATGGCCTCTCTGGGAAGGCTGGCAGATGGCCAGGAGTGGGATTAGCCCTCCTGTGGAGGGGGATGAGCTCGTGAGGGTGGTTGACATCCTGCATGTAGTGCAGCTTTTCATCCTGCCTGGCAGGGATTCCCAGGGAGGGGGTTGGGCAGCTCTTGGAGAGAATTTTCTTGGAGATAAATTGCCCTTGCAGGCATGGAGCTGTCCCTCAGCCTGTCCTATGTCCCCAGTAGACTGGTTTGTAGGGTTTGGGCTGCTGGGATAAAGCTGCCCCTGATTAGAAACAGCACCCTGAGGGGAGGGTCTGTGCTGGGGGTCCCAATGAGCCCCTTTGGCTCTCTGCTTGGCTGCTCATGACTGTGTCCCCCCACCTTCTAACAGTTCCTGGATCAGGAGAACCAAATGTGCCGCAAGCAGCTGCTGGAGGTGGAGGCCAGACTGAACTCCACACTGGCCACTCTGCAGGAGCGCGTCCAGCAGCATGAGGAGCTGATGGAGTCCCACCAACACCTGCGGTACTCACCAACTCCACTCAAACCCCTCTATTTTTGGGAAATTAAGCCCTTCCTGGGGTGTCAGAGGGGACATTTTGACCATGGCCAATGCTGCTCCAGCCAAGTGTGGTGGTCCAGGTGGAGGGTAGAGGCTGTGGGAAGGCCAGCAGATCCCATCTTGAGGGAAGCTGCCTAAATCTGTGGGATTTGCAGTATTGCTGTTTCATGGTGAGAGGCAGCCATGTCCTCATCCCACATCGAGGAAGGGAAATGCTGCTCCTGCTGAGACTGATGCTATCCCACAGGGAAGAGCAGGCTGCCCTCAGCAAGGAGCTGGACAGCACCAAGACCGAGCTCTTCAGCTTGCAGATAAATAGGTCCAAAATTTCTTGCTGCTCCACGGGCATTATGAAGAACAAGATGCGGTTGCAGGAGCTCACTGACTGCCTCAAGGCTGCTCTGGAAGAGCAGGTAGGAGGAGCCCTGTGCTGGGGGCAAGGACGACAGGACGGCCCAGGGTGGGTCACACATTTGTGGCTCTCCCTGGCATGGCTTTGAGATCCTGTGCTTGCTGGGGCAGTCACAAGCTGCACTCTGGTACTGTATCCTCCTTCCCCTCTGAAGGATGATGATGATGATGATACCCCATCGAGAAGCAAAGCCTGGACCCCACGCCTTGCCTGGACCCCGGCATGCCGCACCCCATGCCACACCGGCAGCTCCTTCGTGGGCAGCGTCATGAAAGCTGTATCAGGGGAAGGTGAGCTGGCACCCTCTCTCTGGGTTTTGGGGAGTCCCAGGATGGGGATTGCTGCCCTCTGTGCTGGGGGATGTGCAGGGTTGGGCACAGCCACTGTCCTCTCCTCTTGCAGATGCCAATGAAACCACCAGAAGTGGGAGTAGAGTTGCCAAGGACAAACTTGCATCTGTGCCAAAGCCAATAGGTATTGGGGCTATCACCCTGTCTGGGACCCTGCTCTGAAGCTGCAGGGCTGTTTGTGCAGAGGGCTTCCTTTGTGTGCCCTGAGGCTGATGTTCCCTCTGTATTGCTCACAAGGCTCTTTCCTGCCTGCAGATCCCGAGGACACTCTGCTGGAGAGTGTGAAGGAGCTGGGAGTTGTGGTCTCCAACTTTGCTATGCTGGGCTTCCGCATCCAGGAACTGAAGACAGAGATGTGAGTTCAGAGTGGGCTCGTGTCAAGGGCTGGGCAGGGGCATCACTGTCCTGGGCATGGCCTTTCCTGCAAGCGGCCTGCCTGGGTCTGCCTCTTGCCTCCGCCCTGTCATGGCTAGATGGGCTTTTTCCAGCTGGCTGGGCTGGACCAGATATCTTCTCTCATCGTGGGCCCAGGGGCATGCCCAGGAGGGGGTTTGGTACCTGGTGCTGTGCTTGGCTGCGGTCCTGACCCGCTCACCACCACTGTCTTCTCCCAGCTCTGACCTGCAGCTCCGCCTGAAGACAGTGACAGCTGAGAGCCAGGAGAAGGTGGATGACCAAGCTGCCACCATTGCTGAACTGCACAAGGCACTGAGGACCAAGCTTGAGGTAAGCCAGAAGTGGGCCAGCACTCGCCCCAAGGGCAGAGCCAAACTGGGACGGGCACTGATCTAGGACATGGAGAAATCTGGTGATGCCCCATGGGTGCTCCTGACTTGTCTGACCTCCTCCAACATGAGAAAACCCACTTTGGGTCCTGAGGGTGGCCAGGGCTAGCACTGCCTGACCCTGCTTCTTCCTCCCTGTCAGAATGAGAAGGAACTTCGGAACCTGTTGAAAAAGCAGGAAGAGCAGATGTTGCAACTCATTGACAAGAGTGGGGAAGTCACGGTGCGTGATGGGGGCACGGGTGGGCAGCACCTTGGAAGGCTGCTGGGCACGGGATCCCTTCCAGCACTGATTTTTCCCCTGTAGAGGCTGAAGACAGAGGTCTCCGAGCTGAAGCGCTCACTCCAGCTTGCAGAGACAGAGGCCAAGGTGCTGTGGGAGGAGGTGAAGGGTAAGGAGCACCAGGAGAAGCCTGTCAATATCCAGGAGCGGGTCCTGCTCCGGCAGCAGGTGAGGCTGGGGAGCTGCAGGGCTGAGGGCGCCTCATGTCACCCCACCATGGACAAGGAGACCTCTTCAGTCCTTGCTCCTCATACCCTGTCCCCCCACAGGGATCTCAGCAGAGCTTGCTCCTTTTGCAGGTGGATAAACTGCGAATGCTGTTTGTGAAACAAGAGGATGAGAAAAGACGGCTCACTGACAAGTACCTGGAGCAGGTGTGGGGAGCCGCAAGGGGCTGCCCTGGCTCCAGTCATAGCAATCAGAATGGTTTGGGTTGGAAGAGACCACAAAGGTCACCTAGTTCCAACCCTTCTGACATGAGCAGGGGTCCTCTCTCCCTTCTGGGCTGGTCCCTGCCCAAGTTTGGAGCAGAGACCTGATGGGCATCTTCCCACCACCACAGATCCGAGGGCTGGAGATGAAGTTACATCAAACCCGGAAAGTGCTGAGGACCCATGAGGAGATGCAGGAGAACATAAAAGAGGTGAGATTTACAGTTTATTTCTCACCCTTCCTGTGACTAGGAGGTCACCTACTCAAACACTATTATTGCTGCTGTCCCCAGCTCCTGTCTGCTGTCCCTGAGGTGGCTCTGAGTTGCCAGGAGCTCCAGAACCTGCTGCGCTATGTGGGCCTGAAGCCAGCCAGCAAGGAAGCTGCTGAGCCGCTATAGCCTGTAGCCTGAAACCTTTCCTGTTTTTAATGTTGTAATTATTTTTTGAATAAAGTTGTGTTGGCATTTACCCTGCCTGCTGTGTGCATTCAGGAAGCTCCTGATGCTATGGGTGGGGACAACTTGTCCAGCCTGAGCTGGTTGCTCCTGTTCCGTCACGGGGCCGTGGGCACAGCTCCCTGCCACCCCAGGGCCTCTCCTTCTTGGCGGGGGACACGTCCCCCCCTCTCTGCCAGTGTTTGCTCTCAATAAGGGACTGCGTTCCCCAGGCTCCCACCCTGTGGCCCCGGCAGCAGCCAGAGTGCCTGGGCTGAGCCAGCTTCCCTCCCCTGCTCCTCCTCCTGCCCTAGATTCCCTCCCTGCCCTGCTCTGCAGGGGCTTGTCTGGACCCTGCACCCCATCCTTGGGCTGCGGGCACGAGCCTGTTGCATGGGACTTGTTCCAAAGGCTGGATTCCTCATCTTATCACAGGGATGGTTCCAGAGGTTGGATCCTGCACTCTCATCACGGGGCTGTGGGCACACGCCTGTTGCATGGGGATGTTTCCCCCTCCCAGCCTGGCTCCAGCACGCAGCATCCCACGGCTCAGCCAGCGCCGGGAGCTCTGCCAGCTCCTGCTCCCAACCCCCCTTGGTCGCTGCTGCTGCATGGAGGGCGGGGTGGGGGGGGGCTCCCTTAGGGGCTCCCCAGCTCCCAGAACAGCTCCAACCTCACCTCCCTTCCTTCCCTGCTGGGGCAGCTCCTGCGGGATCCCCCTCCTGGTGTTCCTGACCCCAAGGATTCTCCCCACTGCCATGGGGACCACGGGGCACCTTCCCTCCCCTGTGATGGCCCAAAATAGCAGCACTTCAACAAGTGCTCTGGTTTTTAATGGCCTCTTTCTCCTGCCCAAGGGGGATGGAAATCACCTTCCCCTGCCCTCTGCCACAGCCCTGCCGCTCTGCGTGGGGCGGGTGCCGTGACACGTGGGGCGCTGGCACCGATTTATCTACCCGGGAAATGTTTGGGGCTGTGCCTCCATGTCCTGGGTGCGTGGGTGGCTCGTGGGGAGGCAGTGCCCTCTGCTCCCTGGCACTGTCTTCCTCCTTGCCCTGTGACCCTGCGGGGTCGGGTACAGCTGTGCAAGGTGCAAGGCCAGCAGTGGGGTGGGGGGCACCCAGCTCTGGGATGCAGGGAAATGTGTTCCCTTTCCTGGATTAGGGCCACGAAGGGCAGCTGAGCCTCCTTTTACGGCGGGATTCAGCACAGCGGGGCCCTGGCAGCCGTCCCTGTGGGGCGAGTGGGGACACTGGTATTGTCCCTGTGCTGGCTGCGGGTGGTTTTTTAGGGGGGTTGGTCTCCTGTGAGTGTCCCCACTATGTCCTGGAGGGTCTGGGGCTCAGTGCTGCTGGCTCCTGGGCACAGGGGTGTATCCTGCACAGTAACAGGGTCCCCAGCCTGGGGGTGGGACAAGGGAATTCTTCGCCCAGAGGTGATGAAGGGAAAGTCTGTTTTTAGATAATAGTAGAAATAGGGGGGCACAGCCTGGGGGTGGCACAGAGGGGTCGCTGTCTTAGTTGCCAGTAGCAATAGGGGGGCACAGCAGGGGGGTGTCAGAGGTCCCTGTCCATAACCAATTAGGGGTGGTGGGACAGAGGGGTCTCCAGCAGCAACTGGAGATGGCACAGTGGAGTTCCTGGCATGAGAGGGCCTTCTAATGACAAGGGGTGACTCAGCTGTGTCCCTGGGCAGTGGTGGGGAGGGTCCCCATCACCAGAAAAGCATTGCAAAGGGGTGATACAGTGGGCTCCCCATCCTGGGATTGTCACCTTAGGGTCGCCAGGAGCGCGGGGTTGTCACCAGCGGGGGGCACGACCCCGGCGGGGGGAGCCGGTAGCCGGCGGGGGGCGGGGGCGGGCCGGGGCGGGGCATGGGGCTGGTCCTGGCCGGTGCCGCCCCGCCGGTCACGTAGCTCTGCGGCACCGCAGCCACATTTACCGCGGGGCCAGAGCGCGCAGCCCGCAGTCCGTACTCGTCGCCGCCGCCGCGCTACACGGTACGGGGGAGCCGAGGGTCGGGGAGAGCCGGGGGCCGGGAGGAGCTGCTGGGGGGACAGTCGGGGGGTCCCGGCGGAGGGAGGCGGCAGCCCTGCCGAGCCTCCCGGGTGTCTCCGTGCGGCATCCCGGGGGTTGTTCCGCGCCGGGGGATCCAGGGCAGAGAGATCCCCGGGCATGGGGGTACTGGGGATTTGAGGGTACCCAGGATACTCTTCCTGCGCTGGCGGAGCTTGAGTTTCTACGGTGCCGGCCGGGGGATCGAGCGCCTCGGTTCCTGGGGGGCATCACCGGCCCCGCGACGGCTCCAGCCCCGGGTTATCACCATCCTTGGAGTACCCCAAACTTTGGGTGCCTCCATCCTCGGCTTGTGCCGCCCTGGGGCGGCTCCCTCCCCCTTTCCCGGGCTATTTCCGTCCCCCCGGTATCCCCATCCCCGTGTTGTCGTCATCGCCCGCGTAACCTCCCCGCGGATTATTCCCACTATGGAGTATCTCCGTCTCCGGAGTACCCCAAAGTCCGGGTAACTCCAGACTCAGGTGGTGCCTCCCTGGGGTTTCTCTTTTCCCTTTTCCCGGAGTATTTCCGCATCCCCGCACCCCCATCCCCGGGCGGTTTCCATTCCTCGCCGGGTATTCCCATGCCCAGGGTACCCCCATCCCGGTCCCCTGGTGTCCTGCGCGGGTCCCCGCGGAGCTGCGCTCCCTCAAGATGGCTGGGCTGGGGGCGGGCTGGCAGGCAGCAAAATGGCTGGGAGCTGCCCGGCATCCTCCACGATCCCTGCCACGAGGCTTATACAACGTGCCCTGACCGGTGGGGCAGGGCTGCCAGCCCCGTGGGGGTCCCCGCTCCCCGGGGAAGGGGCTGTGTGTGGTTTCGGGGTGTCGCCCCGCTGGTGCGTGACTCAGTTCCCGTCCGCTCGCAGCCACCGCCACCATGACGCACCAACACCCCGCGCTGACGGCAGAGCAGAAGAAGGAGCTGTCGGACATCGCACAGCGGATCGTGGCCCCGGGGAAGGGCATCCTGGCAGCCGATGAGTCCGTAGGTCAGTTTGGGGGGGGGGAAATCTGTCCCGCCACCCCTTTTCCCTACGCCGGATGGAGGCTGACGAGGGTGCTGGGTGCCTGCAGGGAGCATGGCCAAGCGCCTGAACCAGATTGGGGTGGAAAACACGGAGGAGAATCGCCGGCTGTACCGCCAGATCCTCTTCAGCGCCGACAGCCGGGTGAAGAAATGCATCGGGGGTGTCATCTTCTTCCACGAGACCATGTACCAGAAGGCTGATGATGGTACCCCCTTCGTCCAGATGATCAAGGACAAGGGCATCGTTGTGGGCATCAAGGTATGGGGGGTGTTCTGGTGGGTTTGTGGGGTGCTGAGGGTGCTTGGGGGTGCTGGTGAGGCTCAGCGATGCCCTCCTCTCATTCCACAGGTGGACAAGGGTGTTGTGCCTCTGGCTGGCACTGATGGCGAGACCACCACGCAGGGTAGGTGTAGAAGGGTCTGTGAGGTTTGGAGCCAGGGGGTTTGGGGCTGGAGGGTTTGGGGCCATGGGATTTGTGGCTGTGGGGCTGACGTGCTGTCCCACAGGTCTGGATGGGCTGTGGGAGCGCTGTGCCCAGTACAAGAAGGATGGGGCAGACTTTGCCAAGTGGCGCTGCGTGCTGAAGATCAGCGAGCACACTCCCTCCTCGCTTGCCATCATGGAGAACGCCAATGTCCTGGCCCGCTACGCCAGCATCTGCCAGCAGGTACGTGCCTGCTGCCATTGCCCCACAGGGTGGGCAGTGACTGTAGGATGGGTATTGACTTGTGTGGGCAGGTATTGCCCCACAGAGGTGGGCACACCTCATCTGTGAGGCTCAGCACTGCGCCTGTGCAGTGCTGATGATCCCTGGGGATCATCCCCAGTGGCTGGACATAACCCTTGTTGGGTAACACCTCACGTGGGTGGACATGGGGCATTGCCCCGCAGCATGGGCATCACTCATAGGGTCAGTCAATCTTTGGGGTCAGGCGTTATTACCTGCACCTCACAAACCTGGACATTACCCTGTAGGGCCCAGAACTGATCCTCCCAGCTTGGGCATCCCCCCATGGGGCTGGGCATCACCACCAAGGGGGGCCTTGAGCCTCGAGGCTGAGCATTGCTCTGCAGGTCTGAGCATTGTCCCATGTAGCCATGGGGCTGAGGGGTGCCCAGGGACATCACTGTGATGGCATCTGCTGTTGTGCTGTTTGCAGAACGGCATTGTGCCCATCGTGGAGCCAGAGATCCTGCCTGATGGTGACCATGATCTCAAGCGGTGCCAGTACGTGACGGAGAAGGTGAGTGGTGGGGTGGCAGCAGGGCGGGCACTGTGCTGTGCCATGCCATGCCAGGGGACTCCACGCTGTCTGTCCTCCCCAGGTGCTGGCAGCCGTCTACAAGGCACTGAGTGACCACCACATCTACCTGGAGGGGACCCTGCTGAAGCCCAACATGGTGACCCCTGGGCACTCCTGCCCCACCAAGTACAGCCCAGAGGAGATTGCCATGGCTACTGTCACTGCTCTGCGCCGCACCGTGCCCCCAGCTGTGCCAGGTACCAGCTGTTGCATGGGGCAGAGACCAGGACAGCGATACCCTGTGTCCCCTCCCGTGCCATAACCCTGCTCTCCACAGGTGTGACCTTCCTGTCTGGTGGTCAGAGTGAGGAGGAGGCTTCCATCAACCTCAACGCCATCAACACGTGCCCGCTGGTGCGGCCATGGGCCCTCACCTTCTCCTACGGGCGGGCGCTGCAGGCGTCAGCACTCAGCGCCTGGCGTGGGCAGAAGGACAACGCTGATGCTGCCACTGAGGAGTTTGTGAAGCGTGCAGAGGTGATGGGGGTGGCCCTCCTGGGAGGGGAGTGCCATGGGCTGGGGTGGTGGGGACACCAACGACTGTGTGCCCATGGGAGGAGGGGTGGCTGAGGACTATGTCCCACATGCTGAGAGAAAACACCAAGGGCTGTGCCCTGTAGGACAAAGGATGCATGGGCCATGGTCCTCGTGGAAGGGACAAAGTTCTGTCTCTGTGGGGGGACATTGAGAGCTGTGTTCCCATAGGGGAATGAGGGGTGCTGAGGGCCACATCCTTGGGCTCTGCTCCCCAGGTGTCCCCATGAGCTGGGGGACCCTGAAGGCTGTGTTCCCAGTGATTTGCAGACCTTGAGTGTCACCCCAGCGTGACCACTGACCTTTCCTTCCTCCACAGGTGAACGGGCTGGCAGCGCTGGGCAAGTACGAAGGCAGCGGGGACAACTCCGGGGCCGCCGGGCAGTCCCTCTACGTGGCCAACCACGCGTACTGAGCCCCGGCCGGGCACCCCACCGGCCCCGGCCCCCCGCCCCGGCCCCTCCCCGCCACCGCTCACACCCCGCTTCCACCCCAGCCACCCAGGGGAGCTGCCACGCGGGGAGGGGAAGGGGGGAGCGCCCCGCGGGATGCCTGCAGGTGGAATGAGGGGTCCGGCTCAGCCGGGCCCTGGGCGGGGGCCACCCGGGTGCCCCTTAGGCCGGGGGCTCCGGCCGGGCCGTGAGGGGAGGAGGGCAGGCCGCGTGGGGGGCAGGAGGGGAGGCCTGGGGGTGCCCCTGCCCTGCCGTAGCTTTGCAGTCCTGGTCGCTGCCGCCCTTGGGGCGCCTGTGTTGTGTTCGCCGTGTGCACCCCATGTACCAAATAGCCTAACAACGAATAAATGGTAGAGACAGCGCTGTGCCGCTTCTTTCCTCGCCGCGGGGCACCCCGGAACTCTTGTGCGCCCCCCCCCCCGCTACTCCCGCTCCGGGCATCACCGGCAGCGTGTTGTGCTCACTTACGCAATGAGCCGTGCTGGGTCTCAGCCCGCCCACACGCATCGTGAGTCTCCGTGACTTGGCAGGGGTGGGTGGGCTCCCCACATGGGGCGGGTGAGGAGCTGCTGTCCTCCCGGTCCCGGTGCCCACGGGAGGCGCCGCCGTGTCCCCCCGCGGCTCTCGCGGAGCTCGCCGCCTCACGGACGGTGCGTGCTCTGATTGGTTCCGCTGCCCGCCCGTCTGTGCCGCCGCGCGGCGCACGCCGCGCCCATTGGGTGCTTTAGGTGTTGTGAGCTCTGATTGGCCGGGCTGGCGCAGGGCACGCCCCCCGGCTGGGCCAGGAAGTGAAGATGGTGGCGGCGGCGGCGGCGATGGCGGCGGATGAGGCAGGTACTGGCGGGCGCGGACGCTCGGTGTTTGTTCGCTGTCTCCCGGCTCCCCGACCCCGCTCCCCGAGGAGCTGGGCCGGTGCTGAGCGCTGTTCCTGCAGAGCGGGCGCGGGGCCGGCGCGCCGCTCTGTCCTTCGCGACCATCGCCGTGGTGCTGGGGCTGCCGCTGTGGTGGAAAACGACCGAGACCTACCGCGCTGCCCTGCCCTACGCGGCCATCGATGGGCTCGGCCAGCAGCCGGTGAGCGTCGGGAGGGCCCGGGGGCGGCGGCTCTGGGGGCTCGGGAGCTCGGGCTGACGCTGTCCCTGTGCAGGTTCAGCTGGTGGTGCCCATGGCCGTGGTCTTCGGCCCGGGATCGGTGCCCGGGGACCTGCCGAGGCCGCTGCCCTTCAGGGACGTGCAGAAGATGGAGATTTCCGTGAACCGTGAGAGACCCCCTTGTGTGTCCCTGCCCCGTCTATTCCTTATGAGTGCCTGCATCCTTTCGTGGGGGTCCCTGCCTGTGGCTTCAGTCACCGGCAGCCCGGAGCTCCCGGGACCCCGAGCCCCATTCACCAGCATCACCCTGTCCTGAGCTGGCAGTGCTGGGAGCAGGGACTGGCACAACGAGGTCCCGGGGTGCTGCAGGGAAGAGACCAGCTCCATCGCCTGGGGATGGGGATGATGCAGCCCTCAGAGGGTGGGATGTGTCTGGCTGGTGTGGGGCTGTCTCACTACCAGTGTGGACCAGTGATGCTACATCCCATAGTGCTTCATCTCACTGGCACCCAAAGGACCTTGCGCCATGTGTCCTCCTGGGGTTGTGCCTTGTCCCTGTGAGCACCAGGCTCCTGTGAGGGGCCCGAGATCAGCAGATTCACTCGGGTTGTTTGCCCCACAGTGAGAACCAGCGTCACGTCTCGCTATGAGATGCGCTATCGCAGCACCACGGCTCAGGAGGAGGCAGCACTGGCTGCGGCGACTGCACGAGGTATTGGAGCAGGGAATTGCTGGGGAGCTCCTTTTCCTGAGGCTGGCAGAGCAGAAAACACACTTTGCTTTCTGTCAGAGTGAGACAGGGATTGGAGTGAAATTCCCACCCCTGCCAGTGCTTCCATCTTCCCCAGAGGCTGATGCTGCTCTGTACCTGCTGCAGGACACCACCTTGGGCTCTCTGACCATGTATGTGGTCCCTGAAACCTCTTCTCTCCTGCCTCAGGTAAGGAGCAGCACCCTGTGGTGCCAGCCTTTGCATGCTTCACCCCTGGGAGGTGGCACAGGTGGCACTGTGCTGTTCTCAGGGCTCTGCTCCCAGCCCTCACCCTGTGCCACCCCCAGGGCATCAACGCGTACGTGGGGAAGCACCGCAGCGCCCTGGTGAGGGCTGGGGGGAGCCTGGCTGCCCTGCAGGCCCGGCTGCGGGAGGTGACACAGGTGATGTCCTTCACGGCCAGCTCCATCGCCGCCGTCCTCTCGGACCGTGTGCCCGACGGTCAGCTCAGCCCCGACGCACGGCGGAACCTGAAATCCAGCCTGGGTATGGATGTGCTCTCCATCCCTGTTCCCTGGCCTTGGGAAAGCCATCTGCTCCTGGGGAAGTGCCATTCCTGCTCTGCTTGTGGAACCCCTGGGTGTCTTCTGGGCTAACAGATCCCTTGGTCTGTAGCTGTTGTTCTGGGTCAGGGTTGGGCTGTGATTGCTGTGTTAGTGTCACCTCACACTGGGGTGGGCCAGGGAGGAGGGGACAGGCCCTGCTGCTCTTGGGAGCTCTGTCACAGCCTCGGTGGCTCACAGCTGTGGGTCCTTGCAGGGTATGAGATCACCTTCAGTCTGCTGAACCCTGACCCCAAGTCCCACACCGTGGACTGGGACATTGAGGGGGCTGTGAACCGCTTCGTGAAGCCTGTCCTGGACAAACTGAGCTTGGTGGCCAACTTTTCTGTGGATTCACAGGTGAGGGCTGGGAGAGATGGCAGGGAAAGCCCAGACCTGACCTCTCTGGGGTGCTCTTCTTTGCCAGCAATGTGTCTCTTGTGTGCCTGCAGATCCTGTACTACGCCGTCCTAGGAGTGACACCACGCTATGACAAGGAGTCCTCCAGCTTCCTCCTGAGTGCTCACAGCCTCCCACATGTCATCAACCCCGTGGAGGCCCGTCTGGGTGAGCACTGTGCTCGTGGCTCACTGGGATCTGTCTCATGGGACCATGGCTCCTTTTCCCCCCAAGCCCATGTGAGAGCTGCTGGGGTGGCTGTGAAGGAGGAGCTGAGCTGTGGGCTGCTCTTGCTGTTCCTGCCAGCCACAAGAGTTCTGTGACTCTGTCCTACTGCAGGCTCCAGTGCTGCCTCACTCTATCCCGTGCTGAACTTCCTGCTGTATGTGCCAGAGCGCTCCCACTCCCCTCTGTACATCCAGGACAAGGATGGAGCCCCAGTGAGCACCAACGCCTTCCACAGCCCTCGCTGGGGTGGGATCATGGTATGGGAACCATGGGGGCGCTGGCAGTGCTGGGACAAGGTGGTGGCTCCCCATTCCCACCTGTTGGCCCTGAGGCCCTGGCTATGCCTCATTAACACGCATTCCTGCAGGTTTACAACGTTGAAGCCCCTGCTTCCCCCCAAGCCTCTCTCCCTCTACATGTGGATGTGGACATGGCACGAGTGATGGAGGTTTTCCTGGCCCAGCTCCGGTGAGGATGTGTTCTTCCCTCCCCAGGCCTCTGTGGAAATCAGCGGGGTCAGAACAGGCTGTACCCAAACAGCTTGTTCACTCCCTGGGCTCTGGGAGGCTGAGGGTGGCTCTTTGTGGCCTTCGAGGTATTGGCTACTAGCCATCACTGCTCTGTGGCCAGGGATGCTGGCACATCTCTCATCTCCTCAAGTAGGAGGCTTGGCTTATCATGCCACACTTCCAGGAGACAATTTGGCAGGAATGGGACTAAACACAACAGGGAAGGAGAGCAAGGAGCTAATGGAAATGAAGGCTTCTGATGTGGGCTGGGATCATCCCTTCTACTCCCAGGTTACTCTTTGGGCTGTCTTGGGAAGAGGTGCCCCCCGAGTTCCTGCTGGAAAGCCCAGGGAATGAGGGGCTGGCTGACTGGGAGCTGGACCACCTGCTGTGGGCCCACACCGTGGAGAACATCGCCACTGTGTCCACCACCCTGACCTCGCTGGCCCAGCTCCTGGACAAGATTGGGAACATCGTCATCAAGGATGATGTTGCCTCTGAGGTAGGGCTGGGGCACCCTGAGGGGGGGAGCAGAGAGGGCTGAATGTCCCTGCTGCCCTCCCTGGCCAGGGACTGACCCTTGGTGTTGTGCCCACACAGGTGTACCGGGCAGTGGCCTCGGTCCAGAGCGCTGTGACCGAGCTGTCCCTGGGCCACCTGCTCGCAGCTTTCCAGGCCAGCAAGGAGGCTGTCACCTCCTCGGAGAGGGCCTTCTTTGATCCATCTCTCCTTCATCTCCTCTACTTCCCTGACGACCAGAAATTTGCCATCTACATCCCGCTCTTCCTGCCCATGGCTGTTCCAATTCTCCTATCCCTGGCCAAGATTGTCCGGGAGACCAGGCTGCGTAAGAAGGAGCCCACCAAGATGGACTGAGCCATGGTGCCCTGGCTTGGGGTTGTCCCCACCCTGTGGGATGATGTTGTCACAGACTCATGGCCCAGAAAGGCACCCCAGGGTCCAGGCTTGGCTGCTTGGCTTGGATGTGCCAGGGCCAGGATGCAGGAGTAGGAAGAGAGGCTGCTTTGGGAGGTGGGAAGGGGTCTCACTTTGGGTGCTGAGCCCTCCTGCACCCACAGAGGCAGAGAGGGGAGGGAGGGTGCTGCCTTTGTGTACCCCCAGCCTGGTGCTGTAATCAGAAGAAGCTGCTGTGTAAATAAAGAACCCCCTGCTCTTTGGGGGGCTGATGTAGGGCTGTGTGAACCTCCTTTAGCCTTCTTGGGGGTACCTGTTGCCCTGCCTTCCCCTGGCCCAGCTTTCATGCCCCCACTCCATTGCTTTATGGGCTCTGGCTCCTGTCTTACGGGTATTTAGCCAAAAATACTTAGTTGGGGAGGGGGGACAGTTCCTGGAGTCCATCCCGACGATGGGTGTGGAGCCCCTGCGAGCAGCCCACCTTAGCGGGGTCCATCGTGTGTCGGTCAGGGTGCTTGGGGCGGGTGTCGCCCTGCTCTGGGCCAGGTGTGGGGTCTGTCCTCACCTCACCCGAGGGGGCTGACCCCCATGGCGGGGGGGGGTTCGCAGGAAGGGAGACCCCGGCCTCCTCCAGCAGAAAGGCTTTGCCCTGATCGCCGGGGAACGGCGTGCAGGGGCCGCTCTCCTCCTCCGCCCTCGTTCCTCCCCGTGCCCGCGGAGCCGGGCGGTGCTGCGCGGCCGGGGGCGGGCCGGGGGCGGTGATGGCGATGCCCCTCCCGGTGCGGCGGCGCGCAGCGGGGCCGGGGCCGCTCACACCGGCGGCGGCGGCGGCGGCGGGGCCATGAAGGTGAAGAAGAGCGGCGCGGCCGGGGCGGCGGCGGCCAGGACCGAGGAGGAGCTGGGCC